GAGGTGGCGGAGCCGGCTCCGGTCCCGTGGAAGGGACAGAGGAGAGCGGGTCTGAGGGGGGGGAGCGAAGGGAGGGGGGGATCGTGACTGGAAGGAGTTTTAACTGAAATGCGATGTCCAGGTTTGCAGCAAGAACAGTAATTCCCGGAGGAGAAACTCCAGAGTATGAGCTGAAAAAGTGCAGAGCTGGCTGGAGACAGGTCCTGGGCTCTCGCCCGCGAGCTGCTTGTCTCTTGTGATGGGTGTAATAAAAAGGCAATGCCTGTATCTCTTTTATTATTTCATTAAGTTTTTTTTTCTTTTGTTCTGCAGCTCGTGGCGTTCTGGCTCTCGACAAGGCTGGGGAGCCCATCACCTTAGTCCTGGCAGAAGATGGCACCATTGTGGATGATGAAGATTACTTTTTGTGTCTGCCATCTAATACCAAGTTTGTGGCACTGGCCAAGAATGAGAAATGGTCCAGCAGGAGCTTAGGTACCGTGTGGAGGAGGGAGGATGGAAGGGGAGGGGGTTTGGAACACAGCTGTGAAGTTAGGCTGGCTCAGGTGGATCAGGAATGACCCGTGACACCGCTGACTCTTGTGCCAGACAGTGGGACAGCCTGGCTCTCAGAGTCCAGGGATGAAGTGGACAGTGGTGCGGAGAAGTGGAAGCAGCTGGCCAGGCAGCTGAAGGAGGACCTGTCTAATATCATCCTGATGTCTGAAGAAGACCTCCAGGTATGGGGCGGAAACCTCTCATTGCTCTCCTTAGCTCATCCATTTAGTAGATGGCAAAGAATAAGTAAACCAGATGTCAAGCTTAATTCAGCTGCTGCTGTTTGGCTGTGGTGCTAGCATCAATTTTCTCCTTGAGGGGAAACACTCCCAAGTGTGGAGGATGCTGTTTGTACTGTAATGAGGGTGGTAGAATGCGTTACTCCATCAGCCCACGTAACAGGAGCGCTCTCATTGTTTTAAGGTGCTTATTGATGTACCGCCTGCAGACCTGGCAGAAGAACTTGCCCAAAGTCAAACCAAAATCCAGGTATTGCAGGACACCCTGCAGCAGGCACTGGACAGACGAGAAGAGGAACGCCAGTCAAGACAGCTCCTGGAACTCTACCTCGAGGCCTTGAAAAATGAAGACAGTGTCTTAAGCAAAGTAGCAGGTAGGGAGCACGGGATGCTAGAAGGAGCTTTTCAGAGATGCCTGAATAGTTGAGTGGAACAAATAAGGCAGAGAGAAGGACTAGAGTGAGTCGCCTGCTGAGCAGCTATTAGTGGGGCTGATGTAATAGCTGGTGTAGTGCAAGAATTCTCTAACTGGGTAAGAGCAGGAGTCCTCACGCTGCTGGTCACATTTCTCACAAGGCCTGAAAGTAGAATACGCGGGGAAGAGCTTAAATCATGTAGTCATCCTTAACGTTATGGATTTCTTAAGTTAGCGGATGCACCTAGATAGAATGCAATTTTTTTTCATCCAAAAACCATCAAAGCAGTGCAGGACACTTCTCCTGTCCTGTGTTTGTCATGGGCTATAACAATTCTGCTGCTTTTCAGAGTCTGAGACTGTACGAAGAAAGGAGATGGATGTGGTTGACACCTGTACCAGCAGTACAGGCACTTCGGCCAAAACCACACTCAGTGACCAGATCCTCACTGCTCTGAAAGAGAAACCTGCTCCAGAGCTCTGCTTGGACAGTCAAGATCTAGAGGTGGGTGAGAACGGCATAACCATATTCTGGCAAATCTCTGCCTCTGGAGAGAGAGGTTATGTCCTTGCTTCTGGAGGCTCGAATGTCAATATAGTTCGGTCTCAAAGTGGTGAGATTTAATCTGTTTCTGTTCCTCAGTTAACATTACCCCTTGTCTGGTAATATCCAGTGGACGCTATTCCAAGTACTCTAGTCTGTCCTCTGAAAAGCCACAAAATAATTTTGGTTTTGATTTTTGCCAAATCAGAGTCAGATGACTTACCAGCAAGTTTTTTTAACTGCAGATGCATCTAGCAATATTTCTTTCATACATCCGATATAAAAATAAAAACAGTGTAAATAAACCCACAGTTTGGAAAGGAAAGTCTAGGTAAACTTTAACCATCACAAGGTGTGTTCTTGCTAATTCCCTGCTGTAGAAACTAAGTAACTGCTTTCTCTTCTTTTGAACATCTCAATATAACTTCAAGCTCTAAGTGCTGGTAGAATATTGAAAATATGCTAGCCCACAAGATAGATGATGTTCTCAATGTGGGCAGAGGGGTTAGTGGTGGAGGGGCACCAGCAGAACAGACTGTTGGAAACCTGTCTTGCTACAGCTGGTCTTGAAAGAAGACACAGAAGCCCTGGCCTCGGCTCTGAGATGGGACAAGCAGAAAGCTGAAGCTCTGCAGCAAGCCTGTGATCAGGAGCTCTCCAAGCGTCTACAACAAGTGCAGACTTTGCATTCCCTAAGGAGCACGTCAAGGGGCAAGAAAACACTACCCTGGGGAGACTGGCTTAGTTCAAAACGCAAAAAATAAGACTGTAGTGCCGCTTGCAATTTTTTTTTTTTTTTGTTGCATTAGAGTCCGTACAAAGAAAGATATATCCTGGGAGCCACAGTTTGCTTGTCATGCTGTGATCTGGCTACAGACAACTAAAATCTGTACATTGTGCTGAGGCTTAAACTCCTGTGGTGATTCAAATCATGTGTAACCAAAGGGATTTTGACCTTTTGCAGAATACTAAAACAATGGTATTGCTAAACACAGCATGTAAGGGTTCAGCTTTGAATACCTGGTTGGGAGCCAGAAGCTTCCATCCCATAATGATGGACCTAGCTTCTGAAACCCCAGGCAGTTTGCATACTCTGACCTCCCAGCATTTTCAACCTAAAGGATAGAAGACCTCTGTAAGACACTTTGAGGCACAGTTAATGACCAGGGCAGAGGGGTTAGCCAGCTGCTGCCTGGCTTCAAGCTCCAGCCTGGGATCTGGGAACTCGAATTATCATGCTAATTTAATCAGCTGAGGTAAATTCAAGGTCCTTTAACTTCTGTGCTTTTCTGGTAGGGAACTCCTGCTTCTTGGGTGCTGTGTAAGCACTAACTTGCAAAACACAGCAAAAGTGGAGATACTTGCTGTGTAAGGCTGTGGGGCAGAAGCCTTGTGTTGGGCCTGTCTGCATTACCCTCCTAATCATTAGTGTACTATCATGATGTATTAATTGGTTTATTTTTAAATGTGTTAAAGGATTTTTTTCTAATATCATTAAAACCTTTTTACCTTACTGTTGGACTAGTTTATTTCCACCAGCTGCTATGATTAAAGAATGAAGTAAATCATTACCTTAACGATAGAGGAAAAAGAAATTAAACACAGAAGTATTTAACCTGTCCAGAGTATTTAGTTCCTACTGGTGACACTGCACCAGAACTCTCATCTGGCACAACCTAGTTTTCTCTTGTGATAACTAGAAAATGTGTATGAAAAAAATCTGAAAAGTGAGCTGAAAGTGCTGAGAAAGTTTCAGTAGGTACAAACATTTTCTAGTATCATGCAAACCCCTCTAACATAACCTTAAATGGCACAGGATGCCAACTGATGCGTACTCTACAGCAGGGATGCAGGTGCTTCTGACCATGGCTCCAGAGCCACCTTACTACAGTAAAGTTTAGAAATGTACTGCAACTTACTGAAAGTGAAGCTTTCAATACACTGGCAGTATCACAGGTGAAAAATGATACAAAATGTTTTAATTGTCAAGACAAGAAGTGAGAGATACAGCTATTGAAACAAAAATAAAATATTCAAAATACCTAAACAAACATATCAAAAATGGAAGCAAGGAGGAAGTCAAACAATTACTGGAAAAACCAAGTAGCAGCATGGAGGGAGTTTGCACCTACTGAGATACTAAGGTCAGTGAGAATGTTCTGCTTTAAACTATTTAAAGGATTTTCTTTTTTATAACAGTAAGATACCTTTTTGTGAGCAATTAAGGCATTTTGGCTGTAAGCTTTTTTTTTTTTGGAACAAAAAAATCCAACTAAAAACCTAAAGATTTGTTACTGTTGCTAACTTGCAAGAAGAATCTCTAATAGGGCTAACTTTGGTTCCTCTAGGATAAGAGAAAATGACCAGAGACATTACTTAAAAGGTAAATCATGCCATGTTGGAATCTTCACTTTCAGTCACAGCTGTTTCGTGTTTCCCAGAAGTTCTCCCTCCCTTAGCTGCACTGGACTTCTTTTTCTTCTTCTCCTTTTGCTCCATGTTACTTGATGTGATCTCGTCACTCTTCTCAGTGATATACTTTAGCTGAGAACAATAAACAAAGTCATCCACTGAGGAACTTCATTTATTCATGAGAAAGTAGAGAGAAACGTTTAAGGGAAATTAACAGGGCAAATTCTTATTACAAAAAAGACAGACCCTCCAAAAAGACTGACAAACATTAAGTAGTTTTAATACTTGCATGAAGCCCTCAGTCAGCTGGATATCCTCAGGTACTGAAATGCCCTAGCAAGACTAGGATTTATAGATGTATGTTACATCCATCTCTAGAACTTAAGCAAATGTCGCTTCATCATCTATAGGCTTCATTGAAACGCTCTTAGGAATTAACCAATTGGTTTAAGAATACTGTGAGACAGAAAATACAGTGAATCTCACCAAAGAACTGCTCCTTCTAGCCAAAAGCTTCACATCTTCTGTAGTGATTGTACTTCGTTTTGCATGCCTGCATAAAATAGAAAATACCCCTTAATGCGTTTCCCAACACTGGTTTTAAGAGGCCATACAGCATCTAATGCAGAGCACTAACTAAAAGGGCTTAATAGGGACCCAGTAAACAAGCCTGTCTTTTCCAACTAAAATACACAAAAACCTGTTTTACAAGCTTGTATGTGTACATCTAAATTCCCACCGTAACAGTGGAATTTAGCAACCAGAACTTCAAGCACCACAGTTCCGTTCCCTCTTGCCAGTAGGTCACTGTGTTAAGTTTTTTACTCAGAAAACATTCCCTTACCTCCTTGGAGCAACCAGATGAAACACAGACATGCTGGTAAGCATCTGTCACTCCCAAACCGTCCAGTACTGCTATGTATCAATGAATGTGGTAATTATATACAGTCATTAATCTAAACAATCACTTGTACCAAGTAAATTAACTTCCAAGATCAGGAAGAACCTACAGGGGAATATCTATTTCCCAGCTTCACAGCCACTACTTAATCAGCCAACAGAACCCTTTACAACTTGGATTACCAGACATATTTTAAAGATTATCTAGTTAATGGAGCTGAACACAAAAAAATAAAGCCTTGGTAACAATCAAGGGTTGCAGTACCTACCTTGCAAACATTTCGAGGTCTTTTGCAAAGCTCTCTGGAGAAAACACAAACATTTTAACATGCTACTCGGAGTAGGAAGAGACACATAATACAGCTCTAGCTGCTGCAAAGGTGTAACCGCCAGTTATCCGCACCAGTTACAGGCAGGACCACGTTACTCCGTGCCCCACACACCATTTCCACGCACACTTAAATGCTTTCTCTAGGTCTGAAAAACAGAATCACTATTTCTTGCTCTTTTAAAAACGTAACGCAAGAAACAAGGCAGCAGTGGCACACGGGTCCAGGGCCGTTTGTCACAGCCCCCCTCCTCCAACACCCAGACTGTACCGCACTGCCTGAAGGTGATCTCCGCGATGGCCGCCACGGCTTGCTTGCTGAATTCCACGCCTTTGTCCTCCGCCACCTCCTGGCACAGGCCGCCGGCCGTGTA